GGGGCAGGGGTGAGCAGCGGCTGCAGGGGCTCAGACCACGACATGGGGAACACGAAGCATTCCCCCAGCCCTTTCTGAAAACCTGCTGGCTCTGGAGGGCTCTAGTCCCTCCTGACTTTACTGCTTCCTGCAAGCATTATCAAGAATCTGAGAGCAAAAGTGTGCTTGAGTTTTACAGGAAGTAATAATTGTCTCTTTGGAGAGGAAGCACAGATGGCATTTTTCCTATGCTTGCTAGTGATGATCTTTGTGATAGGAACATGGGAATCGCTATTTATTATAAAACCTTGCCTGTATTTTAGCATCCAGATCTGCAACTTCCTATGCAATGTAACTGCTGAAGGGACCATTCCTTCTTCATGCAGAGGGTATTTCCTTGTATACTGTCATTGGGGATTGCAACTCTGCTCAGGAATTGTTAGAGCAACCCCTCTCTGTAGGGTCAGAGAGAAGTTATTTGGCTTTACTTTTAGGGTTTTATCAATCATTAAGTCAACTGTGGGACCCCCAGCATATCCCTTCCACAGATACTAAGTGCTTTTATACTATTCTGGGGCAGTAGAGGGGAAAAAAAAAGTATATTCTGTTCTATACAGTGAATACATGGACATTGGTAATGATATCTGTAGACAACTTTGGAGCCAATGGTCTATGTTTTCTCCACTCCTGGTATTAAGATCCTGGTGTATGGGTTTTTTTGTGTTGAGTTTGGGGATTTTTGGCCTTTTGACAAAGAGTTTTCTAGGAAAGACCGATGTTTCTGTTGATTTCAAGGTCTGACACTAATGACTAAGGATGGGGTAAGAGGGGTGTTTTGTTTTGACATTTTTACTTGGCTTATGAAAGCCTAGGAGCTAAAGAGGGGGCATTAGCTCAAGTGTAAGGAGATATTTTGAAGTGAAAAGCTGGCACTTTGCTATTTTAATGAATGCAGCTGCTGTTAGGCAGCCTGGGGTTTTGTGATGGGGTGCAATCAAAATAAATGCATGCATAATTGCATTAACTAAAATAACCTGACACACATAAAGTGGACTGAATGTAGAATTAACCTGCGAAAAAGTCTGTTTTGTGATCGTGGCTTTGCACCTGACTTACAGCATATACTAAATCTGCCTGCACGTCAGGTTCTCCACCAGCAAAGTGGGATTGCCGGTGCTGGTTGACACACATTGATAGAAAGTGACGCGTCAGTGCCAGGTATTGTCATTACTATTATTTAAATGACATTTTTGTCTTAAACCCGAGTTACAGGAATAAGTGAATGAAAAGTGACAGAGAAGCTTGTGACTTGATTATCTGGGAGGTAGCTTAAGATAGTGCAGGTGCACTGTGAGAGAGTAGTTATAAATAATATCCTTTCCTCTTAAGAAGGACTTGCTCAATATTTTTCAAGGGACATGAATAAGTTTCTCATCTTTTAGGTGCTCAGCTAGTGATGTGTTTCAGAAGCCTGATTTTTAGATTGCAGGTGTGCAAGGTTTTCTCTAGGCATTTCCCTCTGTGTCGTTTCAAAATGGATACCTGCAATAAAGAGCTGCTTTTGCAAACATTAGCTTTATTTTTTTCCCGGTTGCTATCAGTTTAAAAAAAGGATTTGAAAATCACTTCACAGGTTTTTTCTTAAAACAAAACAAAACAAAAACAACTCAAAACAAACAAATCCTCCATTTTCATCCTGGCCTCTGCTTATATCTGGATCGATCCTTTTAGATGGTTTATCAAATGTATTGTTTTTCAAAGTGATTTTTTTGCCGTATTCCCGGTGCTGAAAGATTAAGATGTTTGGGGAAAGTGTTTGCTTCAGCCTTGCTTTGCAAAAGCGTGCCAGGAAGGCCTGTGGACACAGGGATATAGCAACGATCAGACTGGTCTAGATCTACAGTCTGTCTAACTGACCAGCTCTTTTGCTGACAGAAACCAGCATTTGCTGCATTATGGAGAGGTGTA